CCCCACACACACACACACACTCGTCTTTTGGCATTCTTTGAGGTTAAACGTTATACACAGAGGTTCAGAATGTTAGAAGTTATCTTCGTTTTGAGTGCAGTTTCGGGTGAATGCCGATCAGGCTCCGGGTGCAAACACGACATCAGTTTGATGAGGTGCTATCACAATAAACAGTTTGCCCTGTTGTCATCGCTTTCTTCTGCATCATGGAGTTTTATCCTATCCGAGGATGGGCATTTTAGTGTCGGTCAGACAGCACCACTGAAGATCATCGTTTTCAGAAGATAATTTTATGATGTACAGCGTACCTACAGCAGAAAACTTCACTTTTGAATTATTTCAGTTTTTCTTTTCACCATTTTTTCCACAGAAAACAAAACAAAAAAGTTTATCTTAGGGTGATGTAATTTCGACTCCCTTTGACTTCTGTATAATTTCCAGAATATTTCGTTCGTAATTAATGGCTACTGACTCGAGGCATAAGGCCAAGTGCACCTAGTTCAAATTATGTCCTTTCTGTTAACTGGCCCCATTCACGGAAACGTTGTCTTCAGACTTTGCTCGGCCTCTAGTGAGCCTAAAGGCATAGTGGGATTTCTAAAATATAAAACACAATTATTTTTATGAAATGTCATTTTTTTCTCCAAAAATAATGATGATGATGATGATGATGATGATGATGATGATGATGATGATGATGATGATCTTGATGATGATGGATGATCGTATTTCGTATCAGCCCACAATTTGGCTATTACTCAAATAGTGGTCTTTTCTTAATCCCAAAAGGCAGGCGGTGCACGCTATGGTCTGATCTGTGCTTTGAACTTTTAAGAAACGTTTCTATTATTCTAATTTGTTTCACAATAAATGTAGCTTTTGTCGCAATTATTCACAGTAAAGTGCAGCCCTGTAAAAAAAGATAACAATCAAAAACATCGAGAAAATTCAAAGTAAACACTCGTGCTTCGCAAGCTTTATAATTTCTTCTATGCGAAACTTATATTATAGAGCATCTGGCAACGTTTCATTCCGAGATCTCTAAGTAAACAAACTCGCCTCCCCTTTGTAATACAAATTGTGCTCTCTGAATACCCTGGCATTCTGATACAGGAGCCCAGAATGTATCAGCCACAAGAAATAAACGAGAGCAGATTTTGTTACATTCGAACCCTGACCCCCTGAGCTTCCGATTCCCTCTCTTGTTTGTGCTCTTGTCTG